AGAGTGAGACCTTGTCTCTAAAATATACACGTATATATCCACCACCTAGAGTTTCCTTCCGGAATGCCCTGAGCATTTTCAAACCTAGCCCAGGAATTCCAGCCTTGACATCTCTGGGCTGGAGCGGAAGCCATGATGATAGGATCCGGAAGGCTTAGCTTTCAAATCCCCTGCTCCAGGGATGCTGGTCTGCCTGGAGAGATGACTGGTTAACGCCTTGGACAAACATGAAGATGCCAACAAGGCATTCTTCTTCCCTGGATCCAACATCATCTTAAAATCACAGAATGCCGGTTGGGAAGGACCTAAGAAATAACTGAGCCAAGTTCCTGTATGTTCTTTTATATTAATAATATGACAGAAGTGCCTGAGGGCCTGCAATGTCGGGTACTACTACGTCATACTATACTGGGTACTCCACCTGTGCAAGCATCCACTCAGCCTTTACCATAGGATGCTGAGGTTGGCTGCAGGATGTCTCCTACTTGTTCCTCTACAACACTCTTTTTTTTTTTTTTCTTTAACATGAAGTCTTGCTCTATCGCCCAGGCTGGAGTGCAGCGGCACAATCTCGGCTCACTGCAACCTCCACCTCCCGGGTTCAAGCGATTCTCCTGCCTCAGCCTCCCAACTAGCTGGGATTACAGGCACACGCCAGCATACCTGGCTAATTTTTGTATTTTTAGTAGAGACAGGGTTTCCCCATGTTGGCCAGGCAGGTCCCAAACTCCTGACCTCTGGTGATCCGCCCACCTTTGCCTCTCAAAGTGTTGAGATTACAGGTGTGAGCCACCAGCCCAGCCTCCTCTACACCACTCTCCACCCTTCTTTGGATTCTCCGCCCAGGAGGCTGCGTCCTTGGCTCTGTTGCCGTCTGCTGAAGTGATCAGCCCCCCAGAGCTCCCTTCTCCAGGTAACTCCTCTCTCGTCTGCTCCTTCAGGCCTTGGGTGGGAACAAAACCACTTCTCACTCTTTGCTAGTCTTCGTTAATGGCATAAGCGCTTCTGGTTTCTCTACATCATCCCCACACCTTTGTAAAAAGTCTGTTTCTCAAACTCTTCTCAAATTACTGTTTCCTACTGGGACCCTGACTCATACAGGTAGGTAGTGATGTCCCCATTTTATGGATGAGTAAACTGAGGTGGAGAGAGGTGAAGAAAGTTGTCCAAGGTCTGAAAGGAACATTCCTGGGATTCAAATCTGGACTCACTCACGTCAGAGGTTTGCTGTTACCGTTATTCCTGTACCTTTGTTGAAACTGGGGGGTGGGGGGGGACAGGCTGATACCATAGCCTTTGTTTCCTTAAAAGAGGAAGATGCAGGAGATACAAGAAGGGCCACTGGAACTGCCCCACAGGTTTTTGTGGGCTGGAGTCAACCCTCAGGAGCAATTGAGGTAGGTGGCAAATATTTGCTCAAAAGAGGCAGCTGAATTGCATGGATAAATGCAGAGGCCATGTCCTGTAGTCCCTAAGCAACTTCCCTGTAGAGATGAGGAAGCCAGTGGAAAGGTGGGTGGCACGGCCTTCCCCAGAGCCCCCGCCTCTGCTAAGTGGTGGGTCTACTTACGGATCTAGACCCACCTGAAGCCAAAGAAAGCCCTGGCACTTCAAAGCACCCACTTGGCAGCTGGCAACTGTCTACACTGTGTGTGGACTCACATACTTTGGGAGCCATTTGAGCCCAGCACCTTCTGATGATGATGACGATCATGAGGATGGTGTCATGGGGACACCAGCACATTCTCTAAGCCAAGCCCTGCTCCAGAGCTTCCTGTACAGCACTGTCCGCTGGGGCCTCTCAATGTCACTGTGAAGAAAGTCTATGGTGGTGGTCTTTCTGCAGAGCAGTAAACCAAGGTGCACAAAATGTAAGAAACCTGCTCAGGTCCCGCCATGAGCAAGAGTGGCGCTCATTCTGCAGACGAGGACAGGGGGCCTGACCATCCCAGACCATGGAGGAGCCAAAGGCAGCAGGGCTGTCAGCCGCTCCTGTTCCCGGACTCACTCCCAGGGCCCTGGAGGTGGGGGGTCTTAGCCTTCTGCTCCCCGCTCAATGACAGACTAGGTCGCCGAGGCTCAGAGAGGCCACGTGACCCATCCAGCGTGCCCAGCCGCAGGTGTGAGTCTGAGTCAGCTCCAACCACCTCGCTCCCGGCGCTTTAGAGCGGCCCACACTGGCTTCCTCAAGAGGATCACCTGGGGCTCGTTAAAAACTCAGCTCCCGGCGGCTCCAAACCCAATAACTGGGCAGGGAGGGGTCTGGGAATCCGGATTTCAAACCAGCGTTTGCTCCTCCACCTCCCCCACTCCAGGTGATTCTGAGGATCTGCAAGTGTGGGAAACAGCCCAAGCCCTGAGGCGACGCAGCTGCTCCCTGGGCCTTCGATGGCCAGCCGGCGCTGTCCCCAGGGGCCCTGGGGTCCCAGGCGAGCTCGCGGGGCGGGGCCAGGTGAGCCTACACCTCCCTGTGCGCAGCCCCGCCCCGGGGGCGGGGCCTCACCTGGCGCGGGCAGGTAGACAGCTCCCTGGTAACCGGGTCTGGCCCAGGAGGCTCGGGCGCGCGCAGCCATCCCGGGCCTCGCCGGGGACCGAGGGAGGCAGGCAGCGCCTGCGCCCGCTCACCATGGTCGAGGGACGCGTCTCCAAGTTCCTGAAGAAACTCGGCTTCTCGGCTGGCGGCCGCCAGTACCAGGCGCTGGAAAAGGACGAGGAGGAAGCCTTGGTGAGTCCGGGCGACCCCGTGCCGGGCGTGCGACCCGACCCCCCATCCCCTCTGTCGTAACCGTCCCCGACCCGAGACCCCGCGTTGGCGCTGCGATTCGCGAACTCGTCCTCCTCCCCCGGTTCCGGAAAGAAGCCGTCCTCCCAGCAGCCACGCTCTCATGTGTGCTCTGGCCCGGGGAGCGCAGCACTGAACCCGCACGTGAACCCATTTTGCAGATGAGAAACTGAGGCCGAGAGTGGTTACGTATATTGCTTAAGGGGCACGGAGCTAGGAAGTGACCTGGCTGGAAACTTAACCTAGGTTTCTCTGACTCCGGAGAATTAAAATTCCTGGGTCTCCAGACTTGCGCTGCTTTACAGATTTTTAAAACTTAAATTGGAAAATAAAATTAGAGGGATGCAAAAAACAAAAGATTGCTGAAATGTAACAATAATAGAAAGCAAAGCTGGAGCTGAGGGACCTCCCAGCCTCACTTCCTACAGGCAGGCACTTTCAGAAAGCCACCCGGAGCTGTCGGCCTGCTTTGCAAGCTCCAGGGGACCCCCTGGGGTAAAGCAGCAGGGTGCCAGGGCAGGGCGGTTCATGAGGGAACAAAGTGGCAAAGCTGTCAAATAAAGCCCCTCCGGTTCCTCGGATTCTTGGAAGCCAGAGGTGAAGCCAGGCTTGAGGGTGACCCAACACCCTTCTTTTCAGCTTCGCAAACGGAACTCCTTGCACGCTCTAAGGGCAAGGGGGCATTGAATTTCTGCTTTCTTTGCACGCCAGAGGGTCGTTGCACTTTTTTTTTTTTTCATTTAAGCTTAAGCAGTCATTCAAAAACACCATTTCTGAACAAGTCCCCTGGGTTGCTAATGAGAACTATGACTTGGCAATGGCCTTTTGACCAGTGAGAGGAAACTTCAAAGGTACAATTACCTTTTAATAATAATTATAAATTAAAAAAAGCTGAAAAAGTATTTGACTTAAAATTTTATTTTTTTCTCCCAAAGAATACTAATGGTCAAAACATTTTGTTTATGAGATTAAGTATTCATCCTTTTTAAAGATAGTGTTTCGGGCTTTTTAAAAATAGTGTTTTATACATCCCTGTTGATGTAAGAATTCTGGTGTTAGGGTGGTAGACCACAGGACCACGTAACTAGCAGTTTTTGAACAATCTCGATTTTTCTGAAGTGGCATGTTAATATTGATAGAATATAGAGTTCAATTAATTTGCTGTGATCTATTTTTCTACTTGTGTGATACATTCTGCTAAAGGAGTTTGAAGTTTATTTGCCAGCACAGGTTGCCTTTCCTACGTTGCCATTCCTGTTTTTTCCTTTCCATCTTTTGATTTTTGCATCAGGCCAGGTATTTTTCGAACACTCCTGATGTGTAGTTGGTTACCATCAGGTTTCATAGGATGTCCAGGAATGCAGGTGCATGGATGATGTAACCTCAAGGGAGATGCTGGGGAGCGTTTGATCTCTGTGTCAGGTGGACTTCATCCCTCCAAAGCTTTGCAGAAGCGTTCTCAAAGGTCCGACAGGTGTTGAGCCGGTCTGTTGGTATGCTCTCCCACCTGGCTATGGACCGGGGTGCTCTCAGCAGCATCCTGAGGCCTTGGGTGCGTGACGATGGGCAGTGTGCCGCACCAGGAGGCTGGTGGTACCAGCAGCCGGCACTAAAGGCCAGCTGAGAAATAAGGCGTGCTGTCTCCAGAGGCAGCATTGTGAAAACCCAAGAAATAACGATGAAAATCGATGGGAAGTGTGAGGAGGCAGGGGGGGGAGGGGGAAGCCGGGAGGCTGGGCGAGGCACTCACTTCCTGCCAGGTCAGCTCAGACCTGAGCACCTCCTTTGCTCTCATACTCATGTCCTCTCGTTGAAACGCCTTCCTCCCAGGGTTTGGAAAGGAGGCAATGTGTGTTAAGGTGATCACTTCTACAATACTTGGAACCGTCTTTTATGAGCACTAATTATATGCCACATCCAGGATGCCTGTAGGAGGCCTCTAAGCCCTCCCTTCCCCCAGCCACTTTGACCAGTTACACCAGTTCTAATAGTGATTGTTACTGAGAACCTGCTGTGTCTTCTCTCGGGCCTCTTACCTCCAAGGTAAGTTTTACTGTCATCATGTGATCAACGAGGATGTGAAGCTCCTAGTGGGGCCACTTTCGTTTGCTCAGTGAGCATTTCCTGACAGCCAGTTTTGCCAGGCACCGAGATACAGGTGTGTACAAAACACAGTTCATAGAGGAGGCCAACGGGCAGCTGAGAAACCAGGAGATGCTTTATTTGAGACCCAGTGGTCTTAAGTGCACTGGAGAATCAAAGAGTAGAGGACCAGACAGAGGACTGGTGGTTAAGAGGGGAACTGGAGACTGGATTTCAGCATTTCCAGGAATGGAAAGAAAGGTGTTTGAGTCAGGCGCAGTGGCTCATGCCTGTAATCCCCACACTTTGGAAGATTGAGGTAGGAGGGTCGCTTGAACCCCAGAGTTCAAGACCAGCCTGGGCAACATAGCCAGATGCCATCTCTGCAAAAAAATTTTTAAAAATTAGGCATGGTGGTGTGCACCTGTGGTTCTAGCCGCTCCCGAAGCTGAAGCAGGATTGCTTGCACCTGGGAGGTCAAGGCTGCAGTGAGCTGTGATCATGCCACTGTGCTCCAACCTGGGCAGCAGGGTGAGACCCTGTCTCAAAACAACAACAAAAAGAAAGATCTTTGAGAGGCCTCCTTAATTTAGTTACTAGAAAAAGTTTCTCACTGCTGACCTGAACATTAAGGTAAGGAAGAGATTGGACCAGAAATTCCTGCTCCCCAGGTGACTCAGTGCTGATTCCGGGGGAAGCTGTCTCTGCCCCTCAGGGTTCCCATCTCTTGACTGAGGCAGGTATAGTCCCAACCCACTGCCTCCCTGGCTGGTGAGCAGATTCCTCCTTCTGGACTCTGCAGGGTGAGGCTTGGATCCCAACTGACATATGTAGTGACCATCCATCCATTCAACCTAGATTCATGGAGAGGGGCTCCCTCTGTGTGTCAGGTGGGTGCTACAGGCTGGGGTTGGGGCTGATAAGGATGCACAGCTCCCTGCCCTCAGGTATCCCATCCGGGAGGCAGAGACAGGCACCCAACAACAGGTCACAGTTCACTGTTTAGTGCCGATGTGTCAGAGCTGGGAGAAAGACGTGATATTTAAGATAAATAGGAGTGGCAAAGAGTGAGCTGGATGAAGGGTAGGGGTTGACAGCGAGTTCTAGACAAAAGAGGGAGAGGCGTTGGGGTTGGTAGGATGAGGCTGCAGAGGAGGGTCGTACGGAGCCTTGTCAGAGTGTGGGTTTTATCCCTGGAGCAATGGGGGATTGTTGAAGGGTTTTAAGTCAAGACATGACAGTCACTCATTTATTCACAGATGGGCCCAACATTAGAACTGTGATAAAACAGGCACAGTCAGATTTGTGTTTTTAAGAGATTACACTCAGTTACCGGAGAAGAGTATATGCATGGGAATTCTGAGGCTCAGGCACACACAACCTTAACCCAAGGCTTGCCCAAACTCACAAATCATTAGTGTTTCTCAGAATTTAGCAACGTGTGGGCATCTTCTTAAATAAACATACTGAAACCCCACAGTGTTTTGTTTGTTTGTTTTGAGACAGAGTCTCGCCCTGTCACCTAGGCTGGAGTGCAGTGGTGTGATCTTGGCTCACTGTAACCTCCGCCTCCCAGATTCTCCTGTCTCAACTTCCCGATTAGCTGGGATTACAGGCACCCGCCACCACGCCCAGCTAATTTTTGTATTTTTAGTAGATACGGGGTTTCACCATGTTGGCCAGGCTGGTCTCAAACTCCTGACCTCATGATTCGCCCACCTCAGCCTCCCAAAGTGCTGGGATTACAGGCATGAGCCACCGCACCTGGCCAGTGTTATCTTAAATGATTTGTATGAAAGTGTGACTTCAAGTAAGTATAAGCATAAAACCTATAATAAACATAACTGTTTGCTTATAACTCAATTATAAAATCAATTTAGGCCGGTCGCAGTGACTCACCCCTGTTTTCCCAGCACTTTGGGAGGCTGAGGTGGGTGGATCACTTGAGTCCAGGAGTTCAAGACCAACCTGGCCAATATGGTGAAACCCCTCTCTACTAAAAATACAAAAATTAGCCGGGCATAGTGGCAGGTGCCTGTAATCCCAGCTACTGGGGAGGCTGAGGCAGATAAATCCCTAGAACCCAGGGGGCGGAGGTTGCAGTGAGCCGATATCACAACACTGCACTCCAGCCTGGAAGACAGAGCGAGACTCCCTCTCAAAAAAAAAAAAAGTTATAATAAAATTATAAAGTACACATAAAACAGCCTTATTTTGATATATTGGCGATGTTCTATTAAAACTTAATCAGGCTAGGCATGGTGGCTCACACCTATAATCCCAGCATTTTGGGCGGCCGAGGCAGGTGGATCACCTGAGGTCAGGAGTTTGAGACCAGTCTAGCCAACATGGCGAAACCCCATCTCTACTAAAAGTACAAAAATTAGCTGGGTGTGGTGGTGGGTGCCTGTAACCCCAGCTACTCAGAGGGGTGAGGCAGGAGAATCACTTGAATGCGGGAGGTGGAGGTTGCAGTGAGCCAAGATTGTGCCACTATGCTCCAGCCTGGGTGACAGAGCAAGACTCCATCTCAAAAAACAGAAAAAAAAAAGACACTGGAAACCAAAGCCTTTTTTAAATCTCGTCTCGGACATGAGATCTCATAACTTCTGCCATATTCTATTCATTTGATGTAAGTCTAGGTCTAGTCTACGCTCAAAGGGAAGGGGTTACACAGGCAATGGGTACTGGGAGGAAGGGATGACTGGGGACCGCCTTAAAGGCTGCCCATTGGAATAGTAGAAAGAAGTATTTCCTTAAATGATGTCATTCACATTAAAAAAAAAAAAAAACAAAAACCCTAGAACCACATCTGACATGTCATCTGCTCACTAGTTATCTGTTTTGGTTAGTGTTTTCAT